AGACAAGGGCTGCTCCATTGGAGGCTTCTGTTCCTCTGCGACGTCATTGAAGACCTCACTCCCCAAGAAATTATCTTCTGGTCTACGAATTCTGAAGTATTCGAATGATATCGCTTTCAATAGCTCAATCCAGCCTCGAAAGGGTCGGTCCGTGAGGCTAACGAGGGTGGTGAAACTCGATCTGTCGATGAGTTCGTATTGTTTGTTTGAGGTTTGGAACTCACTCTTATATCCACTCTCTCACACCATCCAAGAGGGTTGAAGTCGGTCGCAGCGGCAGCCGAACTGCCTCGTTCGGCGGCGACGCTTTACAGCTCATCGAAGCAGATCGGATGACATTTCTAGGCGAGAAGTTGGCGTTGTGCGGATTTTCACTCACTAGGACAGCTGGGGCATCTGTCACTTTCTGGGCCCCACGGATGCACTGGAAATACACAGATAATGACTCGCCATGTACCCTTCATCTGGCAAAAGTAGTTGTGTGGAAGGATTTGTAGTCTCTTTTAGCTTGGAAAGCAGAAGTGGTATTGTGGCAATTGGAGCTCTCTACAGCGAGCAGCCCTGAGGGTCGAATATTGGCTCGAACCCCTCCAAGTCTACAAAACTTTCCATTTTTAGTTTTGTTCAATTGACACCTGGTTCGCTTTTGAACACAAAAACGCTGGGCATTGGCAGATTACCGGAAATCATCGCATAGAACTGATGGTATTCCAATCAGATTAAGTTTTCGAAGTCAAGTCGATTGCGTGGCGCATCCTAAAAACGATTTACTAGTACCAAGTGCATTATTTTATCACCCTTTCTAACGGAAAGTTCTGGAGAGTTAGCAGCGGAATTCTCTACTATCACCACTACAGATGAACCTCAGCTTTCAGGTAAAGAGTGTCTTCTCTACGGTACACCCCCGTCAAACAGCGGCATCTTCCAGACGGCTATAACATCTGTGTTCAAGATCACTGATGAATACAGGTTTGTTGCACAATTGTTGGTTTTTATCCGTATCTTTTCTCCACAGAAGTTGTTCGGGTACGCCCTCTCCCCCGCGTGGTACCGAGGCACATATGGAACTAATTTTTGAACTTTTTTCTTCTTGAAATACTTATCTTATTCGTAAGAATTTCGAGGAGTAAACTGCTAGCATCGCAGTTGGTGTTAGAATGTTTCTCATTATCAGAAGTAACAACCTCTGATTGATTTTCTTTTTTATGAAGTTTCTATATTTACTGAGTTGCTGAGCAGAGTTTTAGACGATGTTTGGTGAGGGAAGGGGAGGGGGGAGGATGGTCAGTATTCTTGGAGACCTGTGTACTCTTGCAAACCTCCGAACTGATACAGTATCGTTCGCTACAGATGATGGAGCGTGTCAACGCGTCTGAGTTTGGCTCGCCGTCAGCCCGTTCTCCATCAGGTGCTGAAGAGAGTAAGTGGCACTTACCTGATGGAAAACGACTGATACGAACAATATGATGCAGAGTTGTCGCTTGCCGAAAGAAAAAAAAAAGAACGAGTTGGCGCCGCGTCAAACGCAGCCGCGCTGACACGCCCCATCATCCGCTGCGAACGAGACTGTAAGCTTCATCATATATGCCCGTATTGGCTTTAGAAGAGTTCATAGGTTTTCACAATGTGGTCTAAAAGAAGTTCGCTAGGTTCCGTTGTTTCGTTTCGGGGTCTCACGAGAGTTTACATGTGGCAAATAGCAGAATCTCCTTCTGCCCCCCCCTCCTCCTCGCCCCACCCGCCTAAGCCGAACAACCCTCCTGATAGATCTATTACGGCCATCTAGCGAAAGCTTTCCTGGTTGTGAAATTATGTTTGGAATAGATAATTAATTTCAGAGTTAGTAAGCCTGACACTCGATATCAGATCCGTATGTCTGCCATACAGTATTCTCAACGCGAAAATCATCTCACCGACTTACTGTCACCGTTCAGCAGCGGTTGGTCGATCATCGATTTCGTTAGCTTCAGAAATGATCAATAAATTAGATTCCATTGAAGATCCACGCCGACGGACGGTACGGGTGGTAGACGATCCGCGAGCCGGCGCATTGCTCGAGAAACGAATCCGAAATTCGGGTCGATTCGCCCGATTTAGCTCTATTTTACTTGAATACAGTCGCCGATCATAGAATTATTGGTGAGTTGCTTTGTCGATCAATGACGATCAATAGAAATGCCTAATTGTTTAAGAAGACGAAGAGACATATCGTACCAGCCATGTATTCGTGTTTCTGTCCGTTTATGCCTATCGAACTGGTACCAATGAACTTGAAGGTGCGTTTACCTCCCTTATTGAATGATATATCCTGTATTGACTTTATTGATTTTCGACTTACTGGTTTGTTTCATTGAGTTCACTATTAATAGGAAACGTTTCCTTTTCCCCAAAATTATTTACTGTCAAGTAAGTTCTAACCTCTTTAAAGCTCTTGTGGTTCGTTTTGAAGGTTTCAAGGTCTGAAAGTTGAAACATAATATTTCCAAATATTTTTAGGTGGCCGTCGACGAT